GCTGTGGGCTGTCAGCTTGAGGATCTAGAGGCAGAGTGAGGAGGAAGAGGGGAGAAGCAATGGGAGCACCCTGAGCATTGTCTTCTGGAGTCTTGCTGGTTCCCTTCGGCCTCAGGAGGTGGAAGCTTCATCTGAAGGCTGTAATGGGGCCTCTGTGTGTGGACTTTGGTGGAAGGGGAGGCAGGGGCTGAGCTTAGGGGAGGGGAGCAGGAGGCTGGAGAAGTTCCATCAATCCCTCTCGGTGGCTGCTGCCTGTGCAGGAATGACCCAAACGCCCAATACCCCATTCCAGCCCACAGCTGACTTCTCTGCATCCTCCCCAACGATGGGTCTGTGGCTGCTTTTGCTCACTTTGCTGCTTGCTGGCTGAGAACATGTCCCACTGGTGCTTGCCTGAGCTGCTCGGGTGCCCCTCAGTGTGCTGTGGTGCTGTGAGGAGCACTGCAGCCTCCTCCCATGGAGTGCTCACCCCACCCAAGAGCTCCAGCCCTCAGCTGTAGCCTCTGAGCCCTCGGGGCCACCAGCACGGAGCTGTGCAGGGTGGGTGAGGACAGAGTGAGCAGGGTGGGGACAGGGAGCTGGGAGTGCTGCCACCAGCTTATTGATGGCTCTGGATCCAGTTCAGTGAGTAGCACAGAGGTCAGGGAGGATGGTGTAAAAAATAGATGCCCTGGTGGGGCCCAGGAGATGTAGGGCCAGTTTGCAGGCAGTCTGAAGGGTGAGTAAATACCTTCTTCAGCAGTTCTGTGAGCGAGGGCAGGAGACTTGCAGCACTGAGCTGGGCTTGGCTCAGGGGTGGTGGCTGGAGGGAGGCAAGAAGCAGCTGGTTCTGCTGCTCCCTCTGCACAGAATTTGTGATCTGTCAGTTAAATGCCTGGTGTCCTGTGCTGTCTGGGGGAGGGAGGGACAGGAGGAGCATTCCTCCACTGAAGGGAGCTTGGCACAAGTAGAAGAGGTCTGGTTCCAGAGGCTCAGGGGCAGCTGATTTTCCCACAGGCTGAGCACCCAGAGGCTCTTCATCCTTCCTCCCAGGCTCCCTTGGCCCTGGCTAGCCATCCACAGAGGGGATTTGCAGCAATATCTCTTCCAGGGCCTTTCTGTTGTGACTGACAGAATGAAGCTAAGGGAGGTTTGCAAGGATGCCCTCAACCCAGGGGCCCTGCATCCAGTTACACATACCATGGAGGGGTGCACCAGCCCTTCCCTGCTCTCAGCTTTGTGACCTACTCCTCCTCCTGTCTCGTGTGTGTTCACTAGACCCTTTTCTTCTCCTTGCACTCTTCTGTCTGTCTGCCTCTCCTGCCTTTCACACCTCCCTGGGCAGGGCAGACAGGTTCATGATGGGCACCTGGATGCTGCACCAGGTCGCAGCTTCAGAGGTGAGTTCTTTGAGTCCTGGTCTCTCTCAGGTGCCTCTGAAATGAAGTGCACCCTTCTCTGGGCCTCCAGCACAAGGGGCCATGGCTTTTGGAGAAGCAGGGCCAGCTGAGTGTGTGAGGATGACTCTGGGGTGGCTGCACTCTGCCCTGGCACGTGCCCTGTGCTGCTCATGGCATTGCCATTCACGTGGTAAAAAACACTTGCAGGTAAAAGCAAAGCCAAGCAGGCATCAGATGACAGTTCAGAAGAGAGCAGCAAGGACTATGGTGAGGATGATGATGATGAAGAAGGAGAGTATGAAGTCGAGGAGGATGAGGAAGAACTGGAAGACGACGACTCCGATGGTAAGCAGTGCACTGGGGCAAAGGGAAAGGGAATCAGTGCTGGTGCCTGAAGGGCCCTTTGCAGCCTCCCTACAAAGGAGCCATCTCCTCTTTTCTGAGCTGTAGGGTGTCAGGAGGGGCTTCTCCACACAGACACACACACCCCTGGGCAGGGAGGCCTGGCAGCTGCGGGAGGAGAGAGAAAGGGTTAAGGCCCTTGCAGGCCTTGCTCTAACAAGCCACCAGTCCCTTTCATCTCTTTTCAGGGGCCTCCTGCAGAGAGGCTCAAACAAACTCTTGAAGTGCAGCCCACCCCAACAGGGTACAGCAGCCTTGCTTCAAGGCTCTCCACGGGTGAGACGTGCAGGGGGGTGTGGAGGGTGCACTTTGCTTTTCATCTGAGCACTGCCTGGGGCTGGGGGTGCTGCACGGGGTGACCCTTCAGCTGCTGCTCCCTGCAGCTCCCCCAGGGCAGGACTGGCACAGCCAGAGACTCAGTTTGGCTGGAAGAGGCCTTTTAAGATCAAGTCTGACTGTTAAC